CATTCCCTCGCTGCCCAGCTACAACCTGAGCAGCTACCTGCCTTGGGGGGCCCTCAGGCATTTTTTGCACCCCCTTAAAAGTGCCACCCAAGTCAAATACCTTGTCAGCCTCGTGCTAAAAACAGCGCTGGTCCAAGCAGCATCCTTTTAATGTATGCATGTTCTGGTGAGTGCAGCCTTGCTGGCACCATATGTATATATATTTCAAAGTCCAGGCCAACTTCCTGGTTTTGCACCTCTCTCTGTCACAAATGCCTCATTCTTTAACCTTGCACTGCAGAGAGCCCCAGGAGGGTGTAGTTTCCAAGTAAGTAGGTTAATTCCATAAGATGTTGCTAGAGTAGGACCTGCCAAGAATGGAGTAAATTGGCATTGTGGAAGGTTTTTAATAGTTTTAAAAAAACGATTAAGTTTTGTGAGCTCTGAAGCCGGTGCTTATTGAGTGCACTAGATTCTGTCTATTAATTTACCTGGATTGATAATATTAATGCCAGAAATGTATTTTATATATTATTAAGTTAGGTAAATATTTTTATTTAATTAATAAGATTAGACATTGTCCAGGTGTCTGGGATGTCACATGCTGCAAATACGTGAGAATGGGGAGAAAGGAAATATATTGAAGTCAGGATTTACAGTTTATTTTCTAAATGTGGCTTATTGAGCACAGCTATGACACACTCGCTTGTTAAGGGCTTATTTCAAATGGCTGCTATAATTGGTGAACTACTGCAGGACTGATTGATTTCTTGCAGTGCAATAATTGAATCAACTATTGGCTGAATCCTCACTAAATGGAAAAACCTACTCAGAGGTTACACGTGCAAGGTTTGGCCCTGTACCTACTGGTGATGCCCACACAAATAAATATGTTTGAAGCCTGGAGTAGTCATGGCAACTCTTTAAGTGACAGCTGATTTATGAATTCTGTACTTTTCTGCATGTTGCATATCGTTTTCCTCCTGCTGTTCACACTGTTATACAAACATTAGCAGAGTAAGGGTTTATGCTGCTTACTGAATAGCAATTCCTCTAGTGAAGTCTATGGGAAAATTGTTGTTTTAGTAAACATGGTAAACCTTTAATCTGCTAAAGGAATCCAGCCTGAATCTTTATCCCATTGTATCCACCTTCACAAACCATCTCTATCTTATGTTAGTAATTTAATATCTAAACTAGAGAACGGATTTTGCCAAACGTAATAATTATTATTTGCAAACCACCTTAAATATATGAACTTGATATTGTGCCTTGAGATCATGCATATTTATACTCTGATTTAAAGGACCACTATAGGCACCCAGACCACTTCAGCTCAATGAAGTCGGAAGAGGGGACCCTGGGGGTGAGGGGGACCTAAAGACCCTATAGTGCCAGGAAAATTAGTTTGTTTTCCTGGCACTATAGTGGTCCTTTAAGTGAGGATAGCACCTCTCTGTCAAGTCCTATCACTTCTGAGTACAATATTAGTGAATCAATATATAAGGTGGGAGACAGAGATAATAAGCAGATTGCTAAGTGAATAACATAGGTTTTCTTGACACATTCATAGACAAAGAAGTGTAAAGTTTCCTTTGGTTTTCAGATGTGGAGATGACCTCTTAAGAGTAATTGTGGTGCTGAACTCTAGAAGCGCAGAAGTCATCATGGAGACCAACTTAATGCTCCTTCTGTTTGGTTAATGGACACTCCACTGCACAAATACGTATTCACTGTTTAGTAGATATATCACGAATGTAAACATGCATGCTTGTAATAATATGTTTTTTTTTTCATTGGGGTTTTATCTAAAACAACTTGCAAAACATACAGTTATTCTAACTGCAGCCTTTGCAAACCCTCCCCTTTTAACCTGCCGAGACTTGCTTTGTCTGTCCAATCACAGACTTCCCTATGCAGCTCAATGAGAAGTCTTTGCAAGGTGGGTGCTTCTTGAGTTTATCTCCACTGAGCTAAACAACCAGGAAGTAACAGGAGCTGTTGTCTGCTTGACAGCCAGATGGGTGTAACCAGGTTAAATTATAAAAGTGTCAATTTCTATTGAAATCTGCACTTTTTGTAAAATGGAGGAAAAAAGAGGACACACTTTACACAAAGCTTTTCAGAAAGCTAAAGCGCTTTAAGGGTCTGGTGTGTCCCTTTAACTTCTACAATGATCCTTAATACATGTCATGTATGCACATTATATAGCTAGAAGTGATTGTGTTCAAACTGAAAACCTCTCTGTAAACAATCTGTAGAATACTGGAGTATCAGCATGAAGAGTTACAGGAAGTGTGAATGACAGGCCTGTGGAATGAGAAAATGTCAATACTGGCCTTTTAAGGAGACAATGCCATTGTGTTTGTTGATGTTATATATTAACATGAGTTAACCCTTTATTAACATGAGTTAACCCTTTACATGTCTAAAGGTCGAGTCCTTAATACTATAAATGAATGGGGGGTCTACAATCCTTATCTAACTAGAAAATGCTCCGGCAAAGTTTTACACATGGCGCAAACAACATCATATTCCAGTGGTTTCCATGGTGACTGATGCAGTTTGCACCAACAGCACTTTCTTTATAACCTCTGTATCTACAGGTTATATAACTAGTGAAAGGGGATTTACACTCTGTTCTTTGTCGGTTAGCCCAAAATTCCATTTACAGGTAATATTGCTCTGATTTATCCAGACCTGGGGTCTAGAAACCGTGAGCCATCTAGAAGAATATAGGCTCCTATCCTCGTATGTATGAACGCACATTTTGCAGGAATAGCGTTCCCTAGATAAAGAGAAGGGGTAAAAGGTTGCCTTTCTCGGCTGTGTGGGTGCTAATGGTATTCTGTGCAGGTATACATGCAGATAAGTGCTCAGCTAGGAAATGGAAGCTTTGATTCTGCTGCAACCCTACTGACGTCAAGACAGAGCTGAGGGCTAGCTACAATCTAACAAACTTCGGCATCATGTCCTCATCTCTGGGAATCTCTGAATGATATGATAAGAGGGAAATACATCACATACTGGGATGGCTAGCCTACAGAGCAGATTTCTCACACACTCTCTATCTATATATATAGGCAATATGTGTTAGGTATTGTGATCACTAGTATAGCTACAGAATTGCCCATGCAAAAATATAATGGGGATTTTAATTAAAATGTGGGATAGCATCATAAGGTGGTATGGCTAGTATAAAGCATAGAGCTCTCTTAAACACAAAAATCCATTCTCCCTCTCTCTCTATCACTATCTCTCTCTCTTTTTTTCTCTCCCTCGACAACAAATGTTAGTCATTGTGACTAGTATTATAGCTGCATAATTGCACATGCAACAATAGAATGAGGATATTTTAGTGCATGTACGGAAAAGTCATACATTTGCATGGCTGATATAAAGGATAACACATTCTAACTCTCTCTCTATATAAATATGTTTGTTATTGTGATTAGTTGTGTAACAGCATAATTGTATATGGACATTTTAACGAGGTTTTTATAGTAGATGTGTGTGACACATACAAACTGGTATGGCTGCTAAATATGTTTCTCTCTATCTAGAGATTCTAGACAAAATGTTCTTGTGATCAGCAGTACAGCTTCATAACATGCACATGTAACGCCTATACAATATGTAGATTTTATAGAACATATCTCCAGGTAGATGCAGCATTTAAAAGGTTGGTACCTAAATGTCAGCATTAGACATCATGCAGATTCAGTATTTAAAATAGTAATAATTAAAGGTGATCCTGCAAGCCCATTAGATGACTCCCGTGTGAACAAGTTTTCTGTTGCTATAGCAACACAGTGTCTCAAGTCAGTTATTAAATATTGGTAGAGAACAAAATCTACAGACAAAGCAATAATTAACTTTTTTTCAACGAGTTTTATTTCGTTGGGTACAAAAAAATGTCACCCACACCTGTGGTAAAATATACTATCACATACAACGTACAAACAAACAAAATACACAACTTTCATGCTCATCCAACCGTCAGAAAATTGCAACACTGTTTTGGCAGTTTAGCAGCTAATATTAAAGTGCCATTTTGAAGCAGTTCTGAAATGAATTCACTTGACAAAGTGTGCTACACTTTCAGGACACACCCATTTTTGTTGAAGAGAAGTACAAGCTCTAAAATAGCCAGTAACATTCCCAGAGATACAAACGCATTATAAAGTGCTAGTATTTCAAAGTTTGTTTCCAACAAGTCCAAAGGGTTCTAGTTAAGTTCATAACAGGCAGTGTTAATTCACTAGATTGTCACGTGTGCAGTGCTAGAGTAAAGCTGAATTGTCACATTCTAGACATCACTCGGTGACCTGGAACGAAAGGACACTTTGGATTGAAAGCAACCACAGAAAAGGACCCACATGGACCTCTGGATTTCTTGATTTCTATAGGCATAAATGATAGGGTTGATCATTGAGTTGTAAGTGGCAGGGAGAAGTGTGGCATAAGTGTACACTGAAGGATAGTCTGGATCTCCAACCACACAATAAATGGCAAACGGTAGCCAGCTGGCCCCAAATGTCCCAAGGATTATGGCCAATGTAGACACTCCTTTTTTGGTGGCAACATAATGGGAGGCTGTGAGAAAATGTTGCTGAAGTGCTATCTGGTGAGCATGTCTACACACTATTTTGCAAATTTTGATGTAGAGGTGTAGCATCAAAATGAAGATGAAAAAGAAAGAGGTGGATAACAGAGTTACATTACTTTTGGTCAATGGCCTCACAATGCTGCAGGACATGTCGTCCTCTAGGCAGTTCCATCCCAGCACTGGAAGGAGCCCCAAACATATGGAGACCCCCCAAGTGACAATGAGCATGATGTGTATCCAAAGAATGGTCTTCTCTGAGGAATAAGTCAGTGCATTGTACAAAGAGAGGTAACGGTCCACTGTGATGGCCAACAAACTGCTCACAGAAGCAGTGAAAGAGGCCACCAGAAAGCCCACAGTGATGAGGCTTATAGTCTCTGACTGAATGACATATTGAAAAACAAAGTTCAGAATTAAGCCAAAGCCAGCCAGAAGGTCTGCCGTGGCCAGGCTTCCAATCAGCACGAACATAGGGGTTCTTAGAGTTGGCGTGTAGAAAATGATAGCCACCACAATGGCATTTTCACAAGCGATGATGGTCCCCGAGATACACAACATTATATCCCACGGGTTGATAGTAAACACAGAGAAAAAAGCAGTCAGCTCCAGGGAGGCATTAGCATCGCTTGCCTGGATCCAGGGGAGAGGGAAACTTGTGTCGTTGTCATTAAGGCTTTCATTCATCTCTCCAGTGTACGAGCGCCTGTGAGTGAGAAAAATACATAGAAAATGGGCATTAGTTCAAGATCAGAGACCCCAGATTCGAACGCACAGTATCCTTTCACCTGGGAGACCATAGAACACGGATTTAGCTACTTAGTTCTAAGTTAAAGAGCTCATATCCTGGTCAGCAAGCTCTGTCCGTGGTGCTGAAACTGCGTCTCCTTCCAGACAATGTGATTTCAGACAGCACATCACAACAGACTATCTGCGACACGTTCATAGACTGATAGTTATTTATTTTTATACATTTATATATATTTTTAATGGGTTCAAGCAAATCACTAAAATACATATATTAGTGTAATTATCTACTTTTTAAATAGGGGATTGAGGAGATAATGCAAGCAATAGGATGCATAATTCCCCAATTAAACTATAGATGCATTTAAAGCTAAGATAGAATAAAGATACATTCAGAGCATGCTTGCTACGTAAACAAAACTATTTACGTTAAAACATATTGTTGGTTTTTACCTTTAGCAAGGATTTGCGGGGTTAGTCATAAGTGCTGTGTATGGAGCCTGCTCTGAGATATGTAGAGATGGTCACATCAATTGGAGCTCAGTCGCTTTAGAGGCAGCCACCTGTTCTCTGTAACAAGAAGTCCTCTCGCCGTCAGAGATAAGGTGGACGTGGTGACACACAAGGCAGGCAGATGGTAGAGTAGAAGGAAAGGTACTGTACTGGTTGACTGTATGTTTGGGAAGAGGGGCTGGCTGAGTATTGGAGGAGGAGCCAGGTGCTTTGCGGAGACTGGATTGGAACTGCTAGAGGAGCATCTCTGTGTCTGAAGCTGTGATGGATATCACTGTGTGTGTGTGTGGAGTTGTGCAGCAGTCCATAAAACCAGAGGATGACTTCAGCTCTTGACGTCCATCGAGCTAGGAGACTAGCAGCACAGGAGCAAAGACTGGCTCTAATTTCATAAACCAGCGTCTTATACACAGCCTGATGATAATATCACCTTCCTCAGCATTGGCACCCCCAGAGGTGCTGTCAGTATAATTGTATGGTGTGCACACAACGCACAGATATGTACGTACAAAGCTTCTGCATTGTTTAGTTGGCCTCTATGAAGATTGCATTATCATTTACTTTATACTATCCCAAATATACTATACTATATGTGCTTTTCCAAATATACTACAACCTACATGTATGTGTGTGTGTATCTGTATGTGCTTGTGTGTGTGTTTGTTTGTGTGTGTGTGTGTGTATATATATAGATAGAGAGAGATAAAGAGAAAGAAATGGAAGAGAAAGAGAGAGAGATACAGATATAGATATAACCAACCACAAGCGATTGTTTTTAACAAGAACATTCTTCTGCATGGTTTTCAGCAGTATATCAGGCAAATCTTCTGATAGAATGGCAGACACATCTGAAAACACACACAGGGTTTATATACTAAATTGAGAATTCAGCACGAATTTCAAATTCAAGGTAAATTAAAATTGGATATATTATTTAAATCAAATACTTTTCCAGTTAGGCTACATTGGCCTTAGATTTGAAACTAACTTTGAATTTTCCCTTTAGTAAATGACCCTGATGATGCTTTCCACATACTTATTGAATGTGACATTCTTAAAAAAAAAAATCCTTTATAAAATTAAATCCAAAGTGTATACAGCTAAAGCAGACCATCAGACCACAAGGGATGCATTCTTAACTCTGTTGATGCTTTGCAGACTTTGCAAGAGAATCATACAGTACTAGGGAGTATATTTACCGTACTATGCTGTATTTTCTACATCAACCTGTGAAGGTACATCTTTTGTACCTCCACAGATTGATCTGAAGGACATGAAGACCTCTCAATCCTTTGCTCATGTCACTGGAGAAAGTGCAACATCTTCTACCAGGCAGTTAGGGGCATCAAAACCCATTGCTTTACTGACAGACACACACATACATTCACTGACAGACACACTTACACTCACTGACAGACACACACACTCACTGACGGACAGACACACACTCACTCACAGACACACAGACAGACAGACACACACACACACAGATAGACACACACTCACTCACAGACACACACACTCACTCATTCACTCACTCACAGACACACCCACCCACACACACAGACAGACACACACACACGCACTGACAGACACACACACACACACACACACACACACTGACAGACACACACTGACAGACACACACTTACACATTCTTGCACACACTCACATTATTGTAATTATTCCTGTGGTCCAGTGGGGATCTTCTGTCTGGAAATCTCCTTCCTGCTCCTCACTGCTCCCTCACGCGCAGTTTAGTGATGCCGATGGCGCGCGCGAGGGAGCAGTGAGGAGCAGGAACACTGATTTCCAACGCTGCATCCACCATCCCCTCCTCCCCGGCCGGGTAAATTATAGCAGAGTAGGCACTTGCAGTGTGGGAAAAGCAGGTGCCTACTTTCCTTGGAACACTAGGCAATTAGGCATGAACTCGCGGTTCACCGGGCCGCAAAGCTGTCCATTGTGGGCCACAAGTGGCCCATGGGCTGCGAGTTTGACATGCTTGCTTTATACTATCTGTCTTCGCTGTGTCTCTTGTTTTGCCCTCTGTCCAGTTTGTGGCTTATTTGTCTTGTGGTTCTTTGTCCTCCTTGTTCTTTCTGTTTTTTCCCTTATGATGTCTTTAAATTTCTACCTACAAACATATTTTTTTCACTATTCTGTCTATGGGTAAATTACATCTTGTCCATTAATAGTGCAACTACAGTAAAGTACCACAATGTCATTTTGCATTAACTCAGTACAATAATGCCACATGGATACATTTACCAATTTTTGAAACTTACAGATCCACTTGCATCTTAATTCCAATATTTAATAGGCCATAGCATCATTTGGGACAGATGGACAACCATTTATTACATCCCCAGAAAAGTATACATTTTATCCAGAACAAGCATGTTTCACATAGGCACTGGAAATACTTTAATGTAGTTGTTGTTATAATAAACTTATCGTACACATTGTATTGTAACTGTGTGAACTTGCCAATAAAAAAATGTTCAGCTGCTGTTCCAATGTGAAGTAATTCATCTCATACATAATTGAATTGGATATTTATGTGTACATTAAAGGGAGAGTATAGGCACCCAGACCATTTAATCTCATTGAAGTGGTCATGATGCACATGGTCCGCTTAACCCTGAAATGTAAAACATTGCAGCTTCAAGGAATCATGGTGCTTGCCGCGCATGTGCATTGGGTCCCTGGATTGCTATGATGTCGGAGGTGACGGAGCCAACTAAAATTATCACAGTTTTATTGTATGACTATGTGTAACATATGCATTCTAATTTTTCAAATAAATTGTGTGCTTGTTCATTTTTTAACAAAAAGAACTTGGTAGAGAAGAAATAACCAGCTACCCACCCTAAATGTATAAACTAAAACTGAGTGCTACAAATAATTTAACTTGCATGGGAAAACTGTAGAACAGCAAACCAGAAACACTGGTTGCCAGGATTTCTGTAAATTAAGTGGATAAATTATTTTATTTTTTTATTTTTTAAATCAAAGGATTAACATTTTACTTAAAAAGGGTATTTGTCTAGTTTGAAATACTCACCTTTCAGTCTCACTTCACTTGCAGTGTGTGAGCCAGAGGCAGATAAGAACTATTAAAGCCAGCTCTCACTAACACTGACAGAGCTGATAACACTGTTTGCACGTTTGATTCGCTGTTACAATATTGCCATGTGTGGGAGTGATGCATAGTGGGTACATATTAATGGATGCAGTGCAAGAGCAGTAGGTTAGAGCATTTACTCGACAACTGAGGCGTGCAACTTTTATTGCATGACGTATTTGTGATTATAGCTAAGGGGTTAAAGTGTTCCTAATTGCAGAAATTATTTTTTTTCTGAATAGCAGCAACATTTATTACAGCGGTGCCCAAAAAGTAGATCCCCAGATTTTGCAGAACTACAACTCCCAAGATCATATGCATGCCTCTAGTATGACAAAGCATGAGAGTTGTAGACTAGTATGAGAGTTGTAGTTTTAAAACATCTGGGGATCTACCCTTTGGGCACCCCTGATTTATAACTTCTAGATCCCAGGACATACTTCAAAAACTAGCAAAAGCTACATTGCAGTATATTCTAAAAATCATTTTCATTAGGCTCTTTTAATTGTTAGCGATTTCTCCAATAATATTAGATTATGCAAAAAATATACCAGAAAAAATTGTAGCACAAAGAAAAACTCCTTTGCGTTAAACAAGTAATATATTGGTTTTCATTTCATTAGCCTGTAGAGGGCAGTGTAATATAAACCTTGCCTGTCTTACAGGGCTGTTGCATATAAAACTGTTAGAGATGTTTCAAGTACTGCACTCACTGACACAGAGAGGTATATAAAAGAGTAATGGCAACTTACATATAAATATTTTTACTGCCAGAAAGGGAAAACAAAACCTTTTGACAAGGCAGCAAAGTTTTCAGGTGATATGAAAATGTTTTATATATGCAAAAGGAAAAGTTTTATGAATTAGATTTATTTTGTTTAGATCATATTGAGGTGCTGTAATTCAACAGAATCCAACATCTTTTATCGTCTTCATTTTGTATAAAAAAAAGTCACTATATGAGGATAACATTTATGATTGTAACTTTTTCAAATGTATAAATCTTTGCCACTGTGTATGCTGTTAGAAGCTGAGGAAAGTCTAAAAGCCTCATGTTTAGTGTTACACTCAGTATCATTAAAGGGATACTATAGTGTTAGTAATGCAAAGCTGTATTAATAGCACTTTAACTCCTTCTGCCTCCCTCACCAATAAAGGGTTAAAATCCCTTTATTTACTAGCGCGAAACCAGTGTACCAGTGCCGATGTCCCTCAGCGCTGGGTCGGTGCTCCGACTCCTCTGACGTCACCTGACGGGAGTGCTAAAGAGCATGCCTTATAGAAGTCTTAATGTCGCCTTGGTAGACAGCCACTAGAGCCGGTCTTAATGTAACAATGTAAACATTACAGTATCTCTAAACTGCAATGGTTTATATTGCAGGACTAAGGGGACAGGGACATTGCACCCACATCACATCAATGAGATGAAGTGGTCTGGGTGCCTATAGTGTCCCATTTAGCTCTTAGCAGGGCCGGTGCAAGGATTTTTGCTTCCCTGGGCAAAAAAAAATGTTCTGCCCCATTCACTCTACAGTGGTCCTGTAGGTTTAACGCGACAAGATAAAACGTTGCCTTACTTTGAAGGGTTAAACATGCCTCTAGTAGCTGTCACACTAAGAGCCACTAGAGGCACCTCTGCTGTTGGAAGTGCATAGAGCTTGACACTTATGTGCATCAGGTGCCCAATGCTCCTGCATGAGGAACATTGGATTGAACCAGTGTTGTCCCATCAGTGACATTAAGTGAGGTAAGAAGGCAAGCAATACAGAGGGAGTCTGAAAAATGAAAATAAAAGTAAGTCCCCCCTCCCTTTTTATTTTATTTTTAATCATTTTATAGTGGGGTGGGGGTGTTTGAATCTAAGTAGGGATAGATACACTATAGTATTTGGAATACAGATTTATATTCTTATTTTAAAAGTATTGATTTTTTTAAAAGGAAATGTTCCTTCCTGTCAAATGCAATCACTGATACATACATACACACCCTCACGCACATACTCATTCACTCACTCACTCACTCACTCACACT